ACGGGGCTAGGACGATGATGAAATCGTTACAGTGCGTGCCGGGACGCTTTGAGAGCGTTCCGGAACATTCTGAGAAGGCGGCGGTGCCCGAAGCATCTTCCAGAGCCGCCGGATATCGGAGATTCTCGGCTTATCCGTGCTTAATGTTATCCTCGTCCTGGCTTCGTCGTATGGCTCTAGTTCTGATCTGGAGCTTCGCGATCTATGATCTATGGACGGCGGGCCGGCCGCGCTTACAGCTGTGGTTCTCTCCCCTGCGCGGCGCGCGTTCGTTGCAACAGTTTGCGGCAGCTGCGGCGCGAATGGACGGCGACACGTTGCCAAAGTGCAGCTCCCTCTCTCGCCTTGGCGCCTCGCACATTCGTCTCAAACGCTTGCCACGGCTGCGCGGATGCGGAGCGGCTTGTTTTCAGAACCGGGATCTTGCCTCGGCGTTTCGCACATGTCTAGGCCTCCTGGATGGGTCGGAGTAGATGGTGCGGAGGATCGCGCCGCATCGCCGATGCATCGACGATGCGGCTCGATGCGGAGCCCGATTTTCTCCACGCTCACGTCGCCGATGCGTCACCGACGTTGGCGATGCATCGACGATGCATTGGCGATGCGGCGCAATCCTCCGACCCCATCTACTCGGACCCCATCTAGGAGGCCTCTAACATTCGCCTCCTGGCTCGGCTTCTTTTCAACATAGGCTCTTGCTTGAGGCTTCCTGACAGCATCGTTGACGCCTGCGGCGATTCACCGCCGCCCTCTGCCTGTCTGGGAACGTCAATGTGGTCAAACGGTGGGTTTGAGTTTGGTCTTGTTGTTTGACCGCTCTCGGGGCGTCTTGGGAGCCTCTCCGACCATTTTGAGCCATTTAGGACCATATTGGGCCCTCCTGGGGCCATTTTGTCAGTCTTGGATGCGCCTTGTCATTGTTTTGGAGACCATGTAGGGCAATCGTGAAGGCCAACTTGGGCGTCTTGGAGTCGGGTGAATAATTGTTACGGGCGGGTGGCTTACGGAATCCCGCGGTATCGAATTTGTGATTGGTTTGTTGGAAGGGCCGAGAAGTTTACACAAGTCTAGAACGCCAAGCACCCCAGTGCAAGCAACAGGGGCCGCGGATCGAATGGCTTTGGGTCCATCCCGCCACCGTGTTTGGGTCGTGAACCAGAGGCGATTTCGAGGCGTCTCTTGGGAGGCCTTCTGGATGTCTCTTGGGCCCCCTGGGGGGCCTCTTGGGTGGCCTGGTCTGAAGCTTCAGGAGGCCTCTTAGGGGTCTTGAGGCCTACTTCGAGAGGTTGGCTTCCGGCGGCGTGGCAGTGGCGCGCTTTGGGGGTCTCTCTAGACCTCTTGGGCTCCGCTGGGGGGCTCGGGGGCCGTCTGGGGGCGATCTCGGGGGCCTCTTGGGCCGTCTGGGACGCTCTTCGAGGCAGAAGACCAGAGAGTGCGAAGCGCATGCCTCGGCATCGCTCGGACGTGTGCATGTTTCCTTCGGCGAGGACCATCGAGGAGCATCCTTGATCATTTGGCGAAAACACCACTCACGAAACCGAGAAAAACACACGGAATGGACGTCCGAGCGATGGCGAGATGCAGCATCAATTGTATGGCAATGGTCAGGGCCTCTGAGGCCAGCGCACCCCCCAGGTTTCCATGACGCCCAGAGGCGCCCAAGAGGACGCCAGGGCGGTCCCATGGGACCATCTTAGGGCATGTTTCAGGAGGGGCAAAAAACACACAGACACAATTAATCCTCGATTCCCAGGAAAAGGTTGGAAAATATGGGAAGTGGGGGGGGAGACAGAAACCCAGAACATATGGGAAAATATTGGGAATATTTTTATTTGTGTGTATGTATTTGTGTGTCCCAGGGCCCCTTCAACGTTGGAAGCTTGGGTTTCAAACAGCGCCTCCAAGAACGCCTCGGCTGGTCCGGTAATCCAGAGCCTAGAGCTTTCAAAATGACGGATATCAGAGCGTGAATTGCCTACCCCGCTTTCGCTTCCAGGCAAAACCAAGTCATACCACGCGCATCCTCGTCAAGCGGCCTGACCAGTACAGGCCTTAGTTTGGCATCGTTTGGTATCTCTTGGAAGCGAGGGTACTCAAACGCGAGGTAGGTTTGTTTTCCCCCTAGGATAATTCGACGGGACCTGAGGGCACTCCATTCAGTGCCTGCCAGAACTGTGGTTGATACGATCAGAAGTTTGAATTTGTGCAGCAGCTACGCAGTTGGAGAGCGGATGGCGGCCACTCCTGTTCAAAACGGGGCTGTCGATTGAGACACGCTCAGACTTACCTGCCCAGAAAACATGTAGCAGTGCACACATCTACATGCTTTTGCTGGTGGCCCCTTGAACTCTGACTTGGAACAGGAGGTTGTAGTACCTCATCATTGATGCATTCTGGGTTTCCTCTGGTCCCCTCCTCCTCCTCCTCCTCCTCCTCCTCCTCCTCCCTCGGCCTGGTCGTTGCCGCTTGCAGTCTACACTGTCCTTGGGGCCATGTTCCCTCAATCTGACCCTGCTGTTCACCATCGCTCCCCGCTCCTGCTGATCGTTCTCTCCATCTCCCCGTCTGGAGCCCTCGCCTCCCCGGCCCGCGGCGGGGGGCCGCAGTCACGCCGCGACACGTTCAACAAGATTGCGAGCAGCTTCTCGCCTCTGGACCGGGGTCTGGGGGGGGAGGTGTAGCAGTGCCGAGGGGGGGCACCACCAGAGGAGTCACCCGTTCCTCGTGGAAAGTGAGGCTTCAGGATCGAAGCTTGAGGAGGTGCTTGGACGTTCGGGGTTGCTCGGGAAGGCTCCGGAGTGCCCTTTGGGGGCCCACCTCTTCGCGCAAGTAACGCTTCAGCGAGGAAGTGGCGACACCCCTAGTGGTGACCCCCCTTCGCATTGCCCCAGGGGGGGGAGACGACGACGAAAAGGGTGGTGGAATTCCAGAACCCCTCGTTCCACGAGCACAGATCACGGCAGGCGGCCGTTTGGCTATATATCTCCAGCCTCAGATGGCTCCTTGCCAGGCCCCCCGGTGCCTTCCAGAAGCACTTCGGTTGGGAAAGCTGGTCTGGGGGGACGGGGTCGGGACCTCCAAGGGTCCATCCGTCATGAAGTCCCGAGAGGGACGGGTCCTAGAGAACCGGCGGTCATCCCCTTGGCTGCTCGCCAGTCTTGCCCAGAGAGCTCTCCCCACGACCAGTCCATCGTCTGGATTATTTCTTCACGGAGTGCCCTAGGGGCCCGAAGGCAGCGAAACAAATCGCAGAGTCACTTTCCTCCAGGACCCGTTCCATTCATGCTTACTCAGGAGGTCCGCGTGTCGGAGAACGCCAACTTGCACCGATCCTGACGATACCCATCCTGGGCCCTGAATCGGTGTGTGCGTGTGTGCGTGTGTGCGGCAGCCCGACTCCTACGCTCAGGAAATAAATGCCAGCGCGGAGAAGCTTACCAAGCTGCGCCAGGAGGTCCCAGACACTAAGCGGAACTGGCCCGCCGTCCTCAACGGCGCCCAACACTACTTGGACAATGACGTCCGGCTGGTCCCAATCGCCCTCACCCGCTGTTCCTTCGCGCTGTTGACGACGCCCGCAGCACCGACCAGTGACACAAGCAGGACCCCAGGCAGCTGCGCAGCGCGGTGCAGAGGTGGGTGCCGCTGCCCCTCAAGAGGCAGGGCATCGGGCTGCGACCCCGCACGCTCGCCCTCTCTCCGCGCGGGATGGCCGCTCTCGGCCCCCCGAGTCCAACCCGGACATCGTGGAGGACAGCCGCAACCTTGACGGCAAGCTCCCCGACCCACGCGCGGACCAGCGTGCCACCTCCGGACCAGCGTGCCACCTCGCGACGCAGCCACCGGCCAGAGCCGTCGGGCCCTGAGGCGTCCAGCTCCAGCTTCGCTGCACCGTCTCATGCGGCCGCCTCATGGGGCTCCGGGTGGTGCCCACGTCGTGGCCCGAGGGCCCGCGCGAAGGACCGCCACGGGAGAGTCGTCTCCCCCGCCTTCCGATTGGGAGGGCGGCTGGTCCGCCCGCTCCCAACACCACCGCGGGCACAGCTGGGCCCACGAAGGCAGTGCTGCGCAGGCCTTCGATCCTCGGTCCATCCTGGACCGCGGCTGCCTTTGCTGCAGGCATCGGGGGCTGCCCCTGCCGCCCTCCCCGCCCCAGCTCCCGACCAGCACCTCGACGCGCAAAGGATGCGGCCGCTCAATGCATCACGACTTCTCGGCGGTCCAGCGCCGCGGCAGCGGCCGCATGAGCGCCTTGTGCGCGGAGGCCACCGATCCCCGAGCGAGCGCCACGCTGCCGAGGACCTCACCGCCTGCCTGGACTGGGCCTTGCGCTCTCGGGGCCTCGAGGCGTGCTTGTGGAAGTCGATCCATGGAGAGGAGGCATGCTGCCAGATGATTCCCAGCTGTCTAACACATGTTTCAAACATGTTAAATTATCTAACGATGTTGAGTCATGTTTAGAACATGTTTTTACAATTTTTAAACACACTCTCAACTCAATGATAGAACTGTTGGAGTGCCCATCGTCATGGCATACACAAAGGGTATGCAAGCTCCCCCCCCCCTCGGAGGCCAGGCGCCGGCTCGCCCGACCCGCCCGCGGGTCCGAGGCGCGCCCGCGCGGGGCCGAGGCGCCGCGAGCGCGACAGCTCCGAGCCGCCGGGTGGAGCCCGAGGCGCCCGCTCGCGGGGCCCCCGGCCACTCGGGCCGGACGGAAGGGGGGGGAGTTGGGAGGAGGAGGAGGAGGAGGAGGAGGAGGAGGAGGAGGAGGAGGAGGAGGAGGAGGAGGAGGAGGAGGGGAGGAGGAGGAGGAGGAGGAGGAGGAGGAGGAGGAGGAGGAGGAGGAGGAGGAGGAGGAGGAGGAGGGGAGGGGGAGGGGGAGGAGGAGGAGGACGAAAGGGGGGGATTGGGAATAAGGGGAGCCTTGAGACGGGGGTCAATGCAAGCGGGGGTCGGCCAGGGCAACAGATCCTGCAGGATCCTGCAAAGACTCCCTCTGGCTGACCCGGGTTAGCGAGCCGCTCGTGGCCGCGAGGCGGCCGCGCCTATTGGCTGACCCGGGTTTGCGAAGATCTGCGCTGCAGGTTTTGTTTTCCTGCATTGCAGTTTTTGGTTTCCTGCTGACCCGGGTCTGGATTGGCCCGGGTCAGAAGATCCCCGAGGGAAAGGGGGGGTTACGAAATTTGCTGCATGCAGCCAGTTTCGGCCTCACCGACGGGCCCATTCCTCGATACATGGGCGCCTCCGCCGCCGGGAGGCGCCGGGAACATCAGCTACGTGAGCTGATTCTCACCCCCCCCCATTTGCTATCCCCCCCTTTCGCCCGACCCAACCAGCCATGCGCCCATAGTTCATAGTTCTCCTCCCGTGGGAGCCCTCCAGCTCGCGCGCCTCCCTGGCCTTCAGTCGGGCCTGTCCCTTTACAGGAGGAAAACTATTCAAACATAGTCTGGGGACTGTTTTGTGAGTATTTTTTGACCATTTTGGGGCATTTGTTTGACTATTGTTATGTTTCTTCCAAAACCCCCCTGTAGGAGGACAGGCCCGACTTAACCCTGGACCCACGCCGCGCAGGTCTGGCTCGAAGCCGCTGTCCCGCCCTGCGTTCGCAGAAGATGTCCGCCGCGCCAGGAGGCGAGGGCCCCGTCGCTGCTCTCGGGTGCGGCGGCCGAGGCTGCTTCGCCCACCGCTCCCCTGGCCTGTCTTCCCTGCAGGCACGCAGCGCGGCAGGGACCGCATCCCTGCGTGGCGCCCCATTGTAGACTGCGGAGTCCCCAGACCCCCCGACGTCTTACTGCCATTAACACGTCGACCCCTGGAGGTCTCGACCCATTCCCCTGGACCCGTTTTTCATCCCGAGTCTTTTTTTGACGGTCCCGAGGCCGGTAAGGGCCCCCAGAGGCCGACAATAGCAAAAAACCTCTTGTCATGATTTGTTCAATGCCCGAGGGGGTCTGGGTCTTCACTTGGCTGGCCTGGTCCCTGCTGCACTTCAGGGTGTATCCCTCGCGCGAGGTGGCCTGGAGGGTTTCTCCGAAAGGCTTAGGCGAGCCGTCCTTCCCCTCCTCCTCTTCCTCCTCCTCCTCCTCCTCCTCCCTCCTCCCTCCTCCTCCTCCTCCTCCTCCTCCTCCTCCTCCTCCCTCCTCCTCAACCTCCCCTCCTCCTCCTCCTCCTCCTCCTCTCCTCCTCCTCCTCCTCCTCCTCCTCCCCCTCCTCCTCCTCCTCCTCCTCCTCCTCCTCCTCCGCCTCCTCCTCCTCCTCCTCCTCCTCCTCCTCCTCCTCCTCCTCCTTCCTCCCCTCCCCCTCCTCCACCTCCTCCTCCCCCTCCCCTCCTCAACCTCCTCCTCCTCCTCCTCCTCCGCCTCCTCATCTTTCTCCTCTTCTCCTCCTCCCCCTCCCCCTCCTCCAACTCCTCCTCCCCCTTCCCCTCCTCCACCTCCTCCTCCTCCTCCTCCTCCCTCCTCCTCCTCCTCCTCCTTCCTCCTCCTCCTCCTCCCCCTCCTCCACCTCCTCCTCTCCCTTCCCCCCCTCCTCCTCCTCCTCCACCTCCGCCTCCTCCCTCCTCCTCCTCCTCCTCCTCCTCCTCCTCCTCCCTCCTCCTCCTCCTCCTCCTCCTCCTCCTCCTCCTCCTCCTCCTCCCTCCTCCTCCTCCTCCTCCTCCTCCTCCTCCTCCTCCTCCTCCTCCTCCTCCTCCTCCTCCTCCTCCTCCTCCTCCCTCCTCCTCCTCCCCCTCCCCCTCCTCCTCCTCCTCGGGTCGCCTACGGCCCAGGGGGAAACCGTGCAGGGCGGCCCGCCCCTGTGCGGATAGCTCATGCAGCCGCGGGGGCTTCCTCTTGCCACGTCTGCCACGGGTGGCCGCGGGCGACCCGGCCGGGTCGCGGCGCCTTGCGCCTGGTGGCGGGCCTTCAGAGGATTTCCTCCGCGACTTCCGCGGGGATGGCGACCTCGGGGCCACCCCTCTCACCTAATACCCTCGTGCTTAAGCGCCACATCCCAGAAATCATCTCGAGCACCCAGGAAAGTATCGGAATGGTGTCGAACGAGGATCGCCTCCCGGGGCCCGACACGTGACAGCCCTCCAGTTTCAGTGCTTTCCTGGTGCTCGGAGTTATTTCTGGTGATCAAGGCTAAATTATGGTGGAACATAATAAACCTAATATGAGCGCACCGTCCAGTCGGGCAACTCGCAGAGCTAGACCAGCGACGAGTTTCGTCTCAACGCCAGCCACTGCGGCACGCCTGGCAGCTCTACCGCCACTCTCCCAGCAGCAGCCACACGGGTCCGCCCGGATCCGGGCTTGCGTCTCCACCTTCGGCCCCTGACCCACTTTTTTGGCCCCAGACGCCTCGTCGAGTGCCCTGACTGCCTCAGCCGATGCTCCATGCCAGACCACGCACCGCCGCCTCGCCTCGCGGCGCGTGCCCCAAAACTGGGCCCACCAGCGGCCCGCCGTCGAGGGGCGGCAGCTTGCCGCCCCCGGGTGGATGGCCGCCCGCGCCGCCTGCGCAGGCGGATGGCCCCCCCCCCGGGGAGAGGCCGCCCTCGGCCCCCGCCGCCCGCGCCTGGGCCGCACGCGGCCGCCTCCTGCGCCCCGTGCGGGTCGGAGGTCCTCGCCTTGGGGCTGCAGCAGCTCGGCCGCGGCAGGAACACGTCGGCGACCACAAAAGGGTATGGCTATGCCGGGATGTGGTTTGCGATATCGGCACCGTGGGGGCACGACGCTGTCGTCGTCGTCGGGCCTCCTCGGGCCGCGGGGGAACTCCATCGAGGTCTCCGCGCGCCCCCTAGGGTCCCCCCCCCCCGGATGTTCCCCAGGGTGCCAGTTGCAAGCCACACCCTCTGCAAACCACGCCCTCTGGAGTCGCCAAGCAAGGGGGAGGGGGAGAGCGCTCGCGGTGCAGTCGTGGCGCTGAAGAAGGGACCCTTTTCGTTGGGGAGGGGCTCGGTGCTCCTTGATTGTTTTGCAGTTTGCCTCGGGTAATCCTTAGGTCTTCCATGGGAAACCGAGGCTTAAGTTGTGGGAAAAAGGGGCCTCGTTCCTTATTTAGGGTTCCTTAGGGCAACGCCCCGACTGTAGCCGCGTGTCCGAGGCGAATGTTCACCGTATTGTGCAGCTATGGCATGGTCCATTTCGGTCCATCGATCCGGTCGGCCCGATGTGATTCCGATGTTCCGAAGGGCCGATGTGGCCCGATGCCTGCGTGGCGTTGTCGTGCATCTTGGCGCAACCGACCCGATTCGATGTCGATTCCGTGTCGATGCAGTCCGATCCAGTGCCCATTCCGATTCGATCTGTTTTCGCGATTCGATGTTGTTGGGTCTTACCTTGGCGGCAATTTTGGGCTTCCTGGGGTCGCGTTGGTGCCAGCGAGGTCTGTCGTGGAGCCTCTTGCTCCTTGCGGGCATCCCCTCCTTGAAGAGAGCGCCCGACATGCAGAGAGATACGGAGCGAGCCCGTCGGAGTCAGCATGCGTGCGGGAGAGGAGAGGGGTGGTAATCAGGATGATGCGCTGGAAGTTGATGTGGAGGTGGATAATCAGGAAATGGGCGTGATGAACATGTTGCAAAAGAAGAGTTGGATGTTGAGGCAGAGGGTCAGAGGAAGGACAGCAAGCGGAGGTGGTGGAGTCGGAGCCGGAGTCTGGGCAGGATTTGGATTTGGTAGTCCGCACTGGCAGTCATCGTACAAACACGCAAAAGCGCAGGGAGGGCATAGCTAGGGGTGCAGCCAAGTCTGTTGGGATGATTGCGTCCATTGGTCAATGGATCGTCAAGTGACGTAGCAGCAGCGTGGCGATGGTTGCCACGGCAGTGCACAAGTCTGCAGCACATTCCCATCCATTGTGGGCTGGGGAGGACCCGCAGCCCAACAGAACGTCCGGCTTCGTTGCTGACAAGTGGGGGGGAGGGCGGGAGTGGGCATGTAATTTTGATCTGGAGATGCCGTCACACACCCCTTGTTTCTTTCTCGCCTCGGTGCGTCCGCAGTCGTCGTTGCATGACTGGATGCCATGTCTGCCTTCCTCGGTCTGGCTGCCGCTGCCGATTCTTCGTCTGCAGATGCATCCGCGTGTGTCTTATCATCACACTGGTTGGAAGTGCCTTTGCTCCACGGTGCTTTCGGCGTCTCTGTCTTGGAGTGCCACTGTGCTGGCCAGGACTCACTCTCTGCCTCCCGCAGTGCCCAGGCGCAGCTCTTCATGGCTGATGCTGCCCTATGGCAGGTATAGTGGCAACCCTTCCCCTGAACTCAGTCGAAGTTTGATTCTTAGGCTTACGCCACACCGCCGACCCCTTGTTTATGCCAATCTGGGGGTAGTAGAAGCTGCGAAGGGGTGAAAAGGCGAGTGATATTTGTTTGGTGTCTGTTCGCCGCCACCGCCAGAGGGTCTCGGGCAGTTCCGCGGGGGGGTCCGAGCGGACGGCGACACCGCGGGCGGTCGTGGTCTCATCTGGGGCCATCTGAGAGGCATAATGGAGCCAGGTTGGGCTCGGGAATGTCTTCGAGCCGTTTCGGTAGCGGTCGGGAGTTTTTTTGGGGGACTGCCCAGGAGTCATGATGGGTCAACTTGGCCATGTGCGAACACGGAGAAACGGCTCTGGGTTATGGGTTAAGGGTGAGAGGCTTCTTGTATGTGTATCGGGATCTCGTGGATCGCTTCTCGGGGGCCTCTGGAAGCGAGTTTTGGAGCCACTTGGGGGCCGTTTCGGAGCCTCTGGGGTGCTTCTTGGGTGTTCCTTGGGGCGTCTGGGCGGCCTCGTGAGGGCCTCTGGGAGCCTCTTGGGGCAATCTTGGTGCCCTCTGGGGCTCCTTGGGGCAGAAAGCTAGAGTTTGAACATGTGTGGTCGCCCTCTTGGGTCCCCCTTGGTGCCGTCTTGGAGCCCTCTTGGGCCGTCTTGGGGACCTCTTGGGCCGTCTTGGGGCCGTCTTGGGCCGTCTGGAGGCCGTCTTGGGGGCCTCTTGGGCCATCTTGGGGCTATCTTTGGGGCCTCTTTGCCCGTCTTGGAGCGTCGGGAAGCCGGAAAGGCGGAAAAGCCAACAACATCGAAAAACATTATGGAAAATCAACAATTTTAGACTCTTGGGGCCCTCTTGGGAGGCTTGTTTGGGACCTCGGGGGCCGTCTTGGAGACCTCTTGGCCCGTCTTGGGGCCATCTTGGGCGTCTTGGAGCGGTCGTTTGGCGTCTCGGGGCCTGAACTCAGTCGAAGTTTGATTTTCCGACGCCGGCGGTTGTCTCCTCCCTGGCTGAAATTCGACGATGGCAGACGGGCTCATGCTTCAAAGTGGATGTTGCCCTCTTGGTGTTGATATCTGTGTGCTCCCAATCGCTGAAGACTCTGGTGGGCACTGGCATATCTTCAAGCCCTGGAAAGCCGTAGCAAGCGCATCCAATGGCATGTGCACAGCGCATCCATCTGCGGTGGAAGGATTGTGCCTAGCACGCAGATTTCCTGCATCCAAGCAAGCTCTGGAGACACGGCGAGCTGCAAATGTTTGTGCGGCGTTGCGCGGGGTCCACGCTGGAGCTTAAGCAGAGAGAGGCCTGCGTGTCTGGTTGGCTGTACGACTGTTCCCTCGCGTAGTCTGAACTCGAACGCTCGCCGCGTCACGCTGTGTCAAATCTACCGTCGCGCTTTGTCCACCATGAGCGCGCGACCGTCTTGCAACATGAAGCGACGTGCGGGATCGGGCATTGAGGAGGAAGTGAATGTAGCCGTGGCGGGTGTGGGGGGGGGGGCGAGAGAGAGAGGGGGAACATTGCGCCCCGCCGAGCGATACACAATTCGTGGCATGAAGAAGAGTCCATCGCCATGGTTGCGGCTGCGGGCAGTGCTTTCCTTGCCGTCACCATTTTCGCGTCGTCTTGGACTGACCCAGCCAGCCGATCCTTGCCACGAAGGAGAGGCACTCGCGAACCTTGCGAAGCTACTCATCATGACCTTGCGGTGCAAGGTCACGAGGAGTAGTTTCGTCGCCGTCTCTATCCCAAGCTGGCTTTGCTACAGTCGGCCCGGATTAGTAATGAGGTCGACCCTGTCAGCTCAAGGGTACCCTTGTGTCCTGTGCCTCGCGACACGTGCCTTCTCACACTTCTAGGGCGATGTGGCCCTCGGAAGGGTCTTGCGTCCTCTCGCGTGTCCTGTCCAATCATTGCCGAGTGTACTCATCATGACCTTGCGACACAAGGTCATGTGGAGTAGTTTCGTCGCCGTCTCTATATCCCAAGCTGGCTCTGCCATGCCCCATTCTAGAGCGCAAAAAAGCGGCTGGGCAGCGTCGCGCTGCAGTCGCTGTACGAGGTCGCCTCCGTCGGCAACCTTCAGGCGAATGCCTCCGGGGCAGTTTTTGACATCCCGGCATCAAGCCTCCCGCCAAGCCTCTAGGGCCTTGCGGCGAAAGCTTCTGACGCATGCAGTACCGCCCGGAGATACGGTAGGGCTTGGCTTTCCCACTACAGCGGGGGCGCGCATCAAGAAACCATATGCTTTTCGTCAGGGTATCCTGGGTTTCTTCGCTCCGCGCGCTGCGCGGTGACTTCCCGCAGCCGTTGAAGAAGCTGCTGCGTTCAGGGTACTCCCAGTTTCCCCTCAGGCGCACCTCGCGCGCGGGTTTTCAGGGTTGGGTTTCTTGCGAGGGTTTCTTGGGGCCGCGCCCGCACTGCCTTCTGCAGTTGGCACGAGGATTAACACCAGACGCTTCGCGTAGCCCCGCCAGTCCATCCAGAAACGATGCCCAGACGAGTTGTTCTGATCAGGGATGTGGAGGTGAATGCAGTGGAATAAAGGGCTGGGTAAGACGTCGCCGCCTTCTGAGCAGAAGGCGCAAGGGCTTCTGAGAAGTCCCGCCGCCTTCTGAGACGGCCTTCTCCTTCTCATTTCCTCCCTTCGCTCGCCGTCGATGATGGTCTTCGGCCCATCCCGCCACCGTGCCTGGGTTGTGGTTCTGAGGCCTCTTGGATGGTCGTTGGGATCTCGTCGAGGCCCTTCGGGGGCCTCCTGGATGCAGTTCTGAAGTCTCCGAGGGCCCCTTCTTGGGCTTCTAGGGCCCCGAAAGTTGGGCTAGTATTGAGGCTGCGGGAACGAGAGCGAACCAAGCCAGCCAGGGAACGCTGGGTGCAAAATCGACGACGCCACGCCACGCCACGTCGCGAAGAAACGGCATCGAGGGGTCGGGGTCTTTCCCTCCTCCGCCCTCGGCATTTGGAAAGTTCGAGCGGTCCTCGCTCCCCTGAGTTTCAACTGCTTGTTGCACGCGAGTGGCCCGCCTGGGCCGTACGCCGCAAGCCACGGCGCCAGCTCGAGCGGCTGGGATACAGGCCAGGCTGCCGTGGCCAAGAGCACCGCTCCAGCCCGGCGTCGAGGGGAAGGCTGGGGGGGCGCCGGCTACACAAGCGCATTGATCGGCTACAGCGGAGACCCATGCCAAGAAACACTCTGCTCGCCTCCAGGGTGTCCTGGGTTTCTTGGGTTTCGATGGTATTACCATGGAGAGCGTGACGTTCCCACGCCAAACATCCATGGACGTCCTGGGGTCGCAGGGTCGGGTTTCTTGTGGATGGTTGCTTGTGAACGGGCCACGACTGTACGTGCAAGAGTGATTTTTCGCCAGGTGTGGGCCCGCAGGGGGGTCCTCCCGTCCGCTGGCATGCGCGCGCGGCGTTGCCCCCCCCCCCCCCCATTCCTCCCCCCCCCCCGAGGCCCGGTGAGGCCGCCCAGAGCTCGCTCTTGCCTGGGGCCACTCTTGCGTGCAGCAGGCAACTGCACACGAAGACTGTCGTGGGCAACTACTGCAGTTTCGGGGCTCCCCATAGGAAGGCCACGAGGCTCGTTTTCGGAGGTGCCGATCTTGATTTGGAATTCCTGGACCAGCCTGGACCCGTTCTGTGTACAGGGCGGCTCGGCTTCCGCTCTTTCTTGGGCACGTAAGAAGAACATTATTCTGTAGGGGCGGAGTGCGCGGGGAGGCCGCGGCCTACCCGCCAAAGCTCGTGCCGCCCTGGTTCGCGCCCGGTTGTCGCTTATCTGGGGTGAGAGGAGCTCGATCTGATCCGTTCTCGCTTTTATAGTGTCGAGGCCTGTCAGGCTCCGCGCCCCTGGGCTGCGAACTTCGGCCTGCGTCCTGAACGTTTGGGGTGAGCAAACATAAATTTGCAACCGCGAGCCAGGCCCCCTCAGTCAGGCATGCTCCTCCCTGTAAGCTTCAGTGGCGAATCTCCCAGGCTAAGCTCGCAACATAACATGTTCTCCGCCGAGAGTACCAGAGCATGTTTGCGGTGACCACGAGAATTGTTTTAAATACGTCGGGCTGTGGTGGCCAGCGCTGCTGTCATTCTGTCTCGGCGCATCCCTCCCGCACCGCCCGTTGACAGGGTGGAATACCAGACGCAAATATGTGAATTCGAATCTGGATCGCGAGCCAGAGCCCCCAGTCGGGCGTGGTCCTTCCCTTCAGCTTCAGCGGCGAATCTCCTGGGCCAGGCTCGCAACATGATCTGTTCTCCGTGGAGCAGTGCTCCTGCACTTCGCCGCGACCCCCACCCACGCGCGCAGCCGAACTCCCAGACCTGCGGTGCTGGCTGTTCCGATGCGTGGCCCCTGCACTCTGGACCCTCTTCCAGGGTCCAGTTTTTCTGTCCAGGATGCTTCTTGGACGGCCCCGCGGCCCGATCTCAAATTCCAGATGCCCAGAAATGTGCACGACGTGCCGTTACGATTTCCTCGACCCCTTGTCGTGTCTGGCATTCGACTCGTGGTGACCGCCGCTGCACGCAGGGGAGCGACGAAAGGAACGGCGTCGCCTTCGCGGACAGTCGCGCGCAAGTTGCCTCCGCAAGGCCGCGCGTCAGCGCCAGTAACCGACCACGGGCGGTAATAAAACATACCCCCACCATTATTACCTCCCGTACAAGAGGAATTGATAGTGGAGAAGGGCGCGGAGGCCGAACTTTGTAATCCACGGGGGAAGTTGCGAATCGAAGATTCTATCACCTCATGCTGACTGGCAACAGCGTCAAACACGCTGAGCATGGCCTTGGTGGTCGCACCACATCAGCTTCGGCAATCACGAGCGGGTGGCAGGGCTGTTGTATAGCCACGAGCATCGAGATCTCTCGAGTCAGTCTTGTGCCGAGCGCCCAGGATAACCATCATCATGATCGTCGTCATCAGCATCAGCATCAGCATCAGCATCATCACCATCACCATCATCATCATCATCATCATCATCATCATCATCATCATCATCATCATCATCTTCATCATCTTCATCTTCAGCTTCATCTTCATCTTCATCTTCATCATCATCATAACTTACCTTCCCCAGGACAATTGTTTTATTACCCCCGCCAGACCCCCGAACTTTATTACCCCCGGGCGATTATTATCGCCCGTGGTCGGTTATCTTCTACGCGGTGTGCCTCGCCAGCGCGTCGGGGATGCTGCCACCACGCAAGCCGTCGCGCATACGACCACCCCCCCTCTTCGCCGCTCGGCCGATCCGGCAGGGCGCCCGAGGAGTCCCTCGACTATCCAGGGTCCCGTGTGGCAACCTCTTGACTCTGCATGTGCCCCAGACATCCGACGATGTTCTTTCTGTTGAGCCCGCGCCCCAGAAGTCCCGACCGCCTCGGGGGGGGGGTGGCCCTCACCCCAAATGCGTTTTTTTGATGTCCCCATGGTCCGAAAACGTGCTCTGGAGGCCCATATGGAATACAGTGGAGACCCATGCGAAGAAACTCCCTGCTCGCCTCCAGGGTGCCCTAGGTTTCTTGGGTTTCGATGGTTTCGCCATGGAAAGCGTGACGCTCCCACGCCGAACATCCATGAACGTCTTGGAACCCGAAGGATAGCGTTCAGGAGGGGCAACAAAAACACAGACACAATGAATCGTCGATTCCACCGAAAATATGGGGAAAATATATGGGAAGTGGGGGGGAAGACAAAAACCCAGAAAATGCGGAAGAATAGGGGGAATCCTGCAATTTGCGCCTATGTGTTTGTGCGTCCCAGGGCCTCTTTCAAGCGTCCCCTCCCCCTCGCGTGCCCTTCCCCTCGTCGCCGGCCGAGCGGCGAACCCGAGCCGCGGGGGCGGCGGCCCGCGGCCGCTCCGGGCGTCCAGACCCGCGCCAGACCGCAGCGTCTTGGCCTGTTTTTCTGTCCGCGAGCGCTCGCTCGGGCCATCGGAGAAAGGCGGCCTCGACGGCGATCCAGAAGGGGGCTCGAGGTTCAAGCAGCGGCGAAGCGTCCTGGCTCGCCTACAGCCCTACCAAGCAATGTTCTGGGAACCTTTTTTTGTGGTTTCCGGGAAATGTTCTTAGAACGTGTCTGGCAGAGTCTGTCTTATTCTATCACATCGGGTTTATGTTCTAAGAACATTGTTCTTGTTCTTAGAACATTTTTGGGTTCTACGAAGATTTCGTGGTAGGACTATAGGAAAGCCGGAACGGTCGGTCCCTGCTCAAGAGGTGCACTCAGAGGAGGAACAAAAGGAGCTCATGCCGCTACCCTCTGCCCGCTTTCCCCTTTTTGGGCCTCCTCGGGGGCCCGCGTCGCCACCGCCAGATGCGCTTCGAAGCTCTGGTCAGAACGCACCCCGGGAGAGGTCCGGGGAGCAGTGGTATCGGCACCTTTTGGTCTCCCCAAATTTGGTCTCCCCATATGCACCACGTTTGTTTGGCCAGCGAAGGAGCCAATGAACAACTCGGCGAAGGGATTCGTTTCAGAGAAACTGCAGCAGCCTACGGGCTGAGAAGCGGGAGCGCGGATGCACCAGATGCCTTGGCCGACCAGACGACTTGGTGTATACTTCGGGACCCTGGCATGCACTCGCGCGCACGCCCTTCCATGCTTCTGGCGACCCATTTCTTCGCTGCCCCGCCATAGTTTTGAGTCGGGCATGTCCCTCTACAGGGGGGATGTTCAACCATAGATATAAAACATAGCCTGGGGACGATGTTCGGTCATTTTCCGGCTGCTTTGAGCATTTGGTGCGTATCTGTTGCAAACAAATCCGCTTGCAGGGGGAACATGCCCGACCTAACCAGAGTTGTTCTACAAGTGCGGCGCCTGGGGGCTGCTCTCCTCGGCGCCGCCAGACATCGATCGATCCCGGGGCGACGAGCTGCCCCCCGACGAGGAGGTCCAAACACACGGGGGCCCACGCCTTGAAGTGTAGAGCGCTATTCGTACTACGCGTGCCTCCTCCTCCTCCTCCTGCTCCTCCTCCTCCTCCTCCTCCTCCTCCTCCTCCTCCTCCTCCTCCCCCTCCTCCCCTTCCTCCTCCCCCCACCCTCCTCCTCCCCCTCCCCCGCGAGGGGCTGGCGAGGGACAGGAGGAGGCTGTCTCGAAGCAGACGGGTGCTGAAGGAAATGTGTCCTGAGGATTTTTTCCGCCTTCTTCGGGTTCCTGGGGCCCTCCGGGTGCCCCGGGACCGTCAAACAGCGATCCAGCGTGACACATGTGGTCCAGGGGGAAGCTCTGGCGTCCAGGACCATTTTGCAAAGGAGGGTGAGGAGGAATAGAGAGGGTCTTTGGGGCGAACCCTGGGCCCTCCGCGGGGAAGACCGGCGAGAACGAGGGCGCCAAACCAGACGGGGTGGAACGGCAGGGAGGAGGCGCGGGGACGTGCGGGGCGGGGGGCGGCGGGCGGGGGAGGGAGGGGGGGGAGGAGGGGGGGTGGGCGGTGCCAGGGAGGTCGAGGACGAGCGACATATCGGACAGACGACGAGATCAGCAGACAGAAGGAGCTCCAGGGACAGAGGGGGAGGGGCGGGATCGGGGCGGGGGCGGGGGGCGGGGCGAGGGGGGCGGGCCGTTGGCGAGGCGAGGTCGGCGCGGGCAGGGAAAGGGAAGGAGGAGGAGGAGGGAGGAGGAGGAGGAGGAGGAGGAGGAGGAGGAGGAGGAGGAGGAGGAGGAGGAGGTGGAGGAGGAGGAGGAGGAGGAGGGGAGAGAGGGGGAGGGGACAAGCTAGGTGCGCTCGCGTCATATCTGACGTCCTACCCCTCCCTCCTATCCCTTACCATGGCGTAGATCTCCTCTCTATTCGCACAGTCGGATGTCGAGCAGAGCAATAATGTAATAATCCCGAGAGGGTGCGCGATGCATCGTAGAGCACGGCATGGCAGGCGTAGAAGAGCACGGCAGAGCGTAGTATGTCATAGCATGGCGTGGCGTTGTGTAGTGAAGAATTGTTTTACGCAGCATTGCAACGCAAATAATGGCATCGCACAGCGGTACAGAACAGAACGTGGCATAGCATGGCGTTATCAAAGCGTAGCATGGCATAGCATGGTGTGGCACTGCGTAGTCAAGCACTGCATTTCCTTGCATTGCAGCTGAACGCATGGAACCGCACAGTGGAGCACCACATAGCATTGCATTCCATGCCGTGGCATGGCATTGGAAATAATGACGCCGGCGCTGCAGCAGGAGCACGATTCGGAACAAGCGGAAGCGCGGAAATGAGGCCAGCGCTGCAGCGGGAGCACGATTCGGAACGAGCGGAAGCGCGGAAATGAGGCCAGCGCTGCAGCGGGAGCACGATTCGGAACGAGCGGAAGCGCGGAAATGAGGCCAGCGCTGCAGCGAGAGCAACATGTTGAAACAAACCCAGCGAAAACCCAACTCCCGGGAATCGTGTGTGTGTGTCTAAAAATCAGTACGCGGAGGGGGGCCGAACATCTTCCGGACGTCAGCAGGGGGGAGAGAGGAGAGTAGTATTCATAGTTTGTAACTGTAGAGGGGGAAAGGGGGAGGAGGAGGAGGAGGAGGAGGGGAGGAGGAGGAGGAGGAGGAGGAGGGAGGAGGAGGAGAGGCGGAGGAGGAGGAGGCGGAGGAGGAGGAGGAGGAGGAGGAGGAGGAGGAGGAGGAGGAGGAGGAGGAGGAGGAGGGAGGAGGAGGAGGAGGAGGAGGAGGAGGAGGAGGAGGAGGAGGAGGAGGAGGAGGGAAGGAGGAGGAGGAGGAGGAGGAGAGGAGGAGGAGAGGAGGAGGAGACGGAGGAGGAGGAGGAGGAGGAGGAGGAGGAGGAGGAGGAGGAGGAGGAGGAGGTTGGGCGCAATCGTAGACAGGGAGCTGCGTACATTGGAGGAAGAAGAGGAGGAGGAGGTGGCGGACGAGCAGGAGGATGCGCAGCAGGAGAAGGAGGAGGAGGAGGAAGGAGGAGGAGGAGGAGGAAGGAGGTTGAGAACGAGGACGAGCAGCAGCAGCGTGAATTGGAGGGGAAGGAGCGGCAGGAGCAGGAGGACCAGGGGAAGGCGGAGGAGGGAAAGGGAGAGGGCGACAACGGTGAGGAAGGACTCGGATCCCCCAAATGACCCGCGCTGATAGGAGACCGTCGTTCTGAACGACGGGGGCAAAACGCCGATCCGAAAGTGAGGCTCACGCTGCAGCTGCAACACCATCTTCAAGGATTGACAGCTACCGGAATGTAACACACCGCGGGTCAGACCGAACACACAATTTGTTTACAACAGTGCGCAGAGAGAGCGGGACAATTTCGGCACAGAGTCTGGGAGAAGGCAGAGTAGTACTCTTATTGAAAAGATGCGAAGATGGGAGATGCAATGGGGAAGGGTCAGGTAGGCGAAAGGAGCAGGAGGAGGATGGGAGGATAAGGTGGGATGGGAGGGAAGGGCATGAGAAGGACAGGGGAGTAAGGATGAGGAGATGGAGGAAGAGGAGGAGGAGGAGGAGGAGGAGGAGGAGGAAAAGGAGGAGGAGGAAAAGGAGGAGAGCCACCTTCTGGCGATACCAGAAGACTTTGACCACCGCGGGGGAGAGCATGCGGACAGTGCCATGGACCATGCTACAGCAGATGAGATCCGCACCATGGATGCAGCCACCCCACTTGGCACAGAGCAACCATGGCATCCGCGGTCATCGTTCAAAGCCGCATACCAGCTCGACCTTCCGACCAGCTTGGTGAATCAGGAGGCTTCCCCCTGATCGCCCACAACGAACGAGGCACGCGCCTCACGATGGGACTGGCCGAACGGCGGGCCGTCAGTGCGTCATCCACCTCCAGAATTTTGTGCAGTAGTGTTCAACTCGACCGACAGCAGCTTCCACCCGCGGCCAGCTGCTCCATCCCACATCCTTTCTCTGCACAGCCCCTTTTACCCATCAGGCGCACTCACTGGACTAACCCGCAGCAGTAGCAGCAGCAGCAGCAGCAGCAGCAGCAGCAGCAGCAGCAGCAGCAGCAGGTGGCGCGCAAATGCCGCTACCCCCCCAACTTCCGACATTTCCAAGGCGACGGCATCTCTCAGAGCTCCCGTGGTCATCACGCGGCACGCACCACGCCGGGCACAGCTACAGCGATGCTACGCAGTGGGTCCCCCAGGGGCTTCTCTCACCCACGTCTACTACATTACCGACGTGCTGCGAACGCGAAAATTACACAGACCTGGATCGAACTCTCTCATGCCCCCCCTTTGGGGGCCCTAATCACCAGCTGCGAGCTGGGGCCTTGGGGATAGCAACGCGAACTGGGGCCTCCTTTCTCTGGCCTGGAGGCCCTCACCCAACCTTCACGCCCTACTGGCTCACCTTCTCGTAACTATCCTCTCTCCACCCGCGTGTCCCCACTAACCTACAGTCAAAAACCCTAATAAGGACGCGCTGTAAGGACGCAAGACCCTTGGAAGCCGAAGTTGGGATTTTTGGGGCGGCGGACGACGAAAACCTCAAGGACGCAAGAGCAAGGAAGAGCAAGGAAGAGCAAGGGTACCCTGAGCAAAGTCGCGCGTCCTTATTTCAGGTTTTTGACTGTAATCCTTCCCCTCGTGTGTGCGGAATCACCAGTTGGGGGATGACACAGGGACCTCCCCGTCGGCCGACCGGCACGGGCCAGAGAGGCCGCGGCGCATAGCGACATCTGCCGAGCCACCGCCTCCGACGCACGCTAAGGCGTCGGCTAGGCGGCCGCAACCAGCAGCTTGCAGCGTCACACTGGCGGCCAGGTGGTGAGGTGAGCGAGGTAAGCGTACGAAGGAGGAGCATAAGCAAAATGGCGTCTTGACGCACTGCTGTCGCGGTCGCCAGGGCAGCATCGTGGCGACGGAGGTGGCGGCTAGGGGAGTGGGGCGAGCGCCTGGTGATGCAAGCGAGGTATGCGTTCGAAGGCCTGATGGCTTGCGCACGCCGCCACCGTCACTATTGGACGGGTGGATCAGCTGATGGGGGGCGTATCATTGGCTGGGGGATGACAAAGGGACCTCG